CCATCAGGAAGTGAGACCAACCAAAGACAGGATGGAGCAATCAATCAGCAGGGTGTTCAAAGAAAGGCAGTCATCTAGTGAGCCTCATCTGTCCATTGTTAAAAATCTTTAATCACATAATCTTGGATGTATTTTCCCCACGCTTTTATGGCTGTTAACATACATAAGAAATAACAACAATAATAATTCCCTTTGATTAATCTCAGTCAAAATCATGATGGTGAAATAGGAGGTTTTATGTATTTTTGTGGAAGTGGGATGCTCTTGGCCTGGATAGTGCTTGGACATCCTGACTCTGAAGGGAGTGGGCTTACACCCTAATCTCATTTATTAACAGACAAGGTTGGACACATTATAGAATGACTCGGAGCCTCAGTTTCCTCATTGGTTCATTGGAAAAAATTTACTATCTTCCTAACTCATTGATAAGACAAAGTAACTGAGATAGCAGAAATAAAGCCCTTGCACAAAATGATTGATCAGTTAAATGTAACTGTTGTTAATATCAGCATTATCATTATAGCCAAGCGACATCTGCCAAGAAGGTGTCATTACCCTTGTTTTACGTATTAAGCCCTGAGCTCAAGGCACTTGACTGCTTTGCCCACGATCCCACCTGTAAACAGAGAGCATGGGTCAGACCTCAGCCTCCATCCTCTCAGGCAGTTCACTGGCCCATATTATATGAGTTCATACTAAGACTCTCCAGGAACCAGCTGGTGATTTCTAAAAGGGTTACAGAGTCTGGAAGGAGGATGGAGTCTGACAATTCCATGGATGGAAGCCAAGTCAGTGAGAAACGCCTACTTACCCTTACAATCAGTCCTGTGGACCCTGAGGCGGGGAAAGCAGAAATTCCTACGTGCTGTTATTGAGAAGGCCACTCAAAGCTTCTCCCTGTGCTGTCCCTTTTATAAAGTCCCAGAGGAGTCCTCACTTGAATTAGTGTCCCTCACGTTGAACATAGGTTCCTTTTGATCCTTACAACAACCTTACAGAGTAATATTCCTACCCTCATTTTGAATTTGAACTAACTGACCCCTCGGAGAAGTAAAGCCCAAAGTGTACCATTGTTGGCAGCTGGGAACTCGAGTTTTGGCTTCCTCCCAGAGCCACACGGCCCAAAACACCAGGGGCGCTCTCTGGAGCCCGCCTGGAAAAGCTGAAGCTCATTCTCAGTCTCTCCTTTCTCTTTTTGTTCTGTGCCCTAATTTTCTACTTCTAGTTAGTTGATCCTATCGTCTGTGCATGCTTCTTTCAAAGCTCCTTCAAGCCTTTCACATAAAGAGGTGTGTTATAAATAAATCATTTGGTGTGTATAACATGTATGCATATGTATTTGCTTAATGATTCATGGTTTCAGTTGGAAAATCTTTGACTTGTGTCAACCACACAGAGAGCTGCAGGGGTTTCACTTCTCGCTGTGAAGCTATGGGGTGTAGTGGAATGTAGCTTCCCTGAGTAGGCTGGGGGCCCACGTTCAGGCCTGGCCATTTGCTTACTCTGTGGCCTATGGATGATACACTTGCGTCATTGAACTTCGAGCTTCACATTATCAAAATGGGAAAATTAACTATTGATTTGCTACCTCACCTGGCTAATAAGAGACTCAAATATGGCTATAATTGTCTGACTGGGTTGCACGTTGTAGGATGTTACACACATTTAAGGCATTCTAATTGGTATTTATTTCTATTTCACCCTTCATCTCTCTTTCGTCAAGATGGTTTAAACGACTGCAAAGAGCCTGTCCTAGGCCTGAATTTCCACTTTCTTTCCCTTCTGTTTCTGTAGATCTCATTTCTTTCCCTTTGTGTGCACCTCACCTGCAGTTCGTAGAATTCCCATCTGGGGGACAGGACTGATGGGAAAGAGGCCAATGTCAGCCTTACATGTAGGAGACTCTAGGAGTGTGTTGATCTTCCTGCGTAGAGACTTGTATATTTGTTTGAATGAAGACACAGGCTCAAACACAAGCACACTCACACGTAGCAAGGACATACCCCAAATCACACACTTTCAAGCATCCTCAGAAACCGATACTGTTTTGAGTTTTCAAGCATCCTCTTAGTGTTATGCAACATATCCCCGAGGATAAGGGGGCTTACTGTACAGCATAGGCACGGAGGACCCATCTCAGACAGACACAGGCCTCTACATCCAGTGCACATACTCTCCAAAATATACAACCGACTCTCTTCAATGTGGATATGATCATGCAGGCACCTTTACAGATACACACAGACACTGATGGGCACACATGGGGACGAGCACAAAAATACAGACATCCACTTTCACTAGGACGTAAGACACACCAATGCATCTCGGGTGTTCAGCTGCTCCAGCTTTGCTCCCACTAACACTCCAGAACACTCAGTTGCAATCTAGTTTTAATAACTGGATTTTCCTCTCTTTTTCTTTGTTATGGATTCATTTAAGTATAGTTAATAAATAACGTACATATTTAATGTATGCAAGTTGATGAATTTGGATGTCGCCACAATCGAGGTAATAGATGCTACAGATATCCACCACCTCCAGAAGTTTCCAAAAGTTTCCTGTGTCCTTTTATTTAGAATAATTTTTGTCTAGTATTTCAGGTTCATTGAGGGTACAAAGAATTAGCTTATACGGTTTGTATTTATTAGGTAAAGCATGTCCTTTTAAAAAATTTTTTGCATATGTGTGTGTGAGAGAGAGAATGCTAAGAACATTTAACATGAGATCCACCCTCTTAATAACTTTTTAAACACCCAATACATTATTGTTCATTAAAGATAATGTGCTGTATGGCTGATTTTTAGAACTGATTTACCTTTTGTGACTGTAACTTCATACCAGTTAAACAACATCTCCCTATTTCCCCATCTTCCCCCCACTCACCCCAAGGAACTACAGTTCTATTCTTTGTGAGTTGGACTATTTTAATACCTCCTGTAAGTGAAATTGGGCAGTATTTGTATCTCTGTGACTGCTTTACTTGACTTAACATAATGCCCTTCAGGTTATCTATATAGTCACAAATGACAAGATTTCCTTTTTTATTTTTTAGGCTAAATAACATTCCAACGTGTGTGTTTATCCACTTTTTTTCAGTGGACATTTGGGTTGTTTCTGTAACCTGGCTATTATGAATAGAACTGTAATGAACATGAGATTGCAGGCGTGTTTTTGAAATTCTGATTTCTGTTCAGTGGGTATATACCCAGAAGTGAGATTTCTGGATCACATAGTAGTTCAATTTTTTCATGTTTTTGAGGAACTTCTGCACTGATTTCCATCATGGCTGTACCATTTTACATTCCCACCAGCAGCATAATTTCTCTTCATTCTCAACAACATGCATTATCTGTTTGTTTGTTTGTTTGTTTATGTAGCAGCCATTCTAACTGGTTGAGATGATTTCTCACTGTGCTTCTGACAGGCATTTCCCTGATGACATGCTCATTGTTCTCTTGAATGCACCATTTCTGAGAAATCTGGGTGAACAGGAGAACTTCCTAAGGCCCCATGAACCCTGGACACGTTGTTTTCTCAATGACAACATCCAGCCCTCCCACAGTGTGGTCAGAGTGCAACGTCCAGCAGGGGACAAAGGTGTGAGCTTCCCATCTGGAATCCTTTCAAGGGCAGGTCTCCTGGCAGAGGGAGGGTGGAGGGCAGGAACCCCAGCCCTCTGCATCTCCCGGAGGAAATTCAAAGGTCTGTCAAATAACATTTGTCCCCAGACTTCATCTCATTTCATGGGGCCATATGAGCCCTTACTTTTCTGAAATTGTCAAGAAAAAGTGAGCTCCTGAAGTCATCTCCCTTCTCTTCCTGCTTCCAGCTTAAATTGCTCATTATAAGAGTACGAAGTTAGATTTTTCTTCCCATGTTAAAAATAAAAAAGTGTCCCTTCCAACCAAATTATTTTTAATGCTGGATACATGACAGTCATAACTTAGTAGGTAATAACTTTAGGGTGACATCAAGTGACAAAATGATAGAGTATATTTTACATACTTGCTTGAAAAATAGTTGTTAAATATGGATATTTCCAACACGCCTCTAACAACCTTATTTATGATGTGGGTTTAGAGACAAGACATGAAAAAGGTGATACGGATATGTGCACACAAAATATGTCAAGGATTCTTCATCAATAAATAGAACATGCTAAGGAATGACCAGGATGCTCCTGAGCACCTGTTAATCAGATTTCCTTAAGAATCAGCCACACAGTTGCAACTTTTTTACAAAAACTGACTTGAAATGGAAGGAATATCCTGAATCAGGAAGCTTCTGAGTCATCACGTAGAATTTAAGTTGTATTCAATAGAAAGAAGGGCAGTGAACAAGCACCCAGTTAGGTTGAAATTACCAAAACTGTTTTAAGACGGCTAAAACATAATACATAATGT